TTTCTTTTTTCTTCTTCTTTTTCGCTGGCTATTTCTTCTACTGCCCCCCACAAACCCAAGACCCAAGCCAACGCCAGCAACTCTGCTACTGTTGCATACCGTAAGGAAACGTTCTCTAAGCCGTGCTCAGTAAGCAAAGCACACTACACACACAACACACACACACACACATATATACAGTGCATGCTGTTGCTCCTGCTCCTGCTGCTGCTGCTGCTCATGCTGGTGCTGGTGCTGCAGCTGATGGGGCTGCTGCTGCAGCTGCTGGTGCTGCCGGTGCTGGTGCTGCAGCTGATGCTGCTGGTGCTGCAGCTGATGGTGCTGTTGCTGCTGGTGCCGTGCTGGTGCTGCAGCTGCTGCTGCTGCTGGTGGTGCTGCTGCTGGTGGTGCTGCTGCTAGTGCTGGTGGTGTTGCTTGTGCGGGGTGTTGGTGCTAACGATGGTGTTGCTGCTAGTGTTGGTGGTGCCGTTGGTGATGTTGCTGCTGCTGCTGCTGACTTGAAACAGCAGCAGCAGCAACAGCAACAGCAGCAGCAGCAACAGCAGCAACAGCAACAGCAGCAGCAGCAACAGCAGCAGCAGCAGCAACAGCAGCAGCAGCANGCAGCAGCAGCAACAGCAGCAGCAGCAGGAGGAAACAACTGACTGCTCTCGCTGCGTCTTCTTCTATCCGTTTGCTGATTAAGACCTTCAAGCGCATGCGGCCTTGCAGCCCAACAGATAAACTCTTGCTGGGGCTGCACCGCATCAAACAAAAACAAGCCCCAAACCCCACTGCATGCATGCATGCATGCATGTATGTATGCATGCATGCATACATGCATGCATGCATACAGTGAAGGAAATACCACTACTTGCATGCATGCGATGCATGCGGTATATAAAATGTATAATATGACAGCCCCAATACATGCAATATCACTGTCTGTCTGCCTGCATGCATGCATGTATATAAAGTACCACTGCATGCATGCATGCATGCAAGATACCACTGTATGCATGCATGCATGCATGCATGCATTATATCCCATGAATCCAGCCCCATATCAACTTATCTAGATGCATGCATGCATGCATGCATGCATGCATGCATGTATGTGTATGTGTATGTTTACTCATATAAGATATTGAGTATTTTTCCGTTTTTGTCTCTGATAGCGTGCATAGTTTGGTTGTTTTGTTTTCTTCTTTTTTTGCTTTGTTGTGATTTATATAAACTAAACAACAAATGGGGGCCGCTTAAAACACCAGATAAACGCTCTATACATATGCGCTGCACCAAAGGAAATAAACCCCTGAAAACATACACACACGCATGCATATATATATATATATATATATATATATATATATATATATATATATATATATATATATATGTATATATACTGCGAGAGAGAGATAGACACACACACGCACGCACACACACACAAATACAAACCCACACACACAAACACACACAAACACACAGACAAG